CCCTTGGGTAATTCTTTATAGCTTTTTAAATTTATTTATTTTTTATTTTTGGCAGAACCAGGGATTGAACTCAGGCCCTTGGGCTTGCCAGGGAAGCACTTATTCCACTGAGCCATCTCCCTGCCACTTGAAGCAACTTTACATTAACAACTCCATCCCCACTCTATAGATGAAAGGCTGAGGCTCAGAGAGATGAAGTGAATTGTTCAGTGTTACACAGCATCAAATTAGTAGCATAATGTTAAGGTTAGGTCCAACCTACTTAGACAAGGGCCCAGGCTCCACTCTCCCACGCTGGGGTATGTAAAAAACGTGGGCACCATTCACTTCTCTTTTTTTTCCCACATAGGGTCTCCCCAGGTAGTTCAGGCTGGGCTTGAACTCATGGCTTTCCTCTTGCCCCAGCTTCTCAAATGGTATAATTTTTTTTGCCGGTACCAGGGATCAAACTCAGGACCTTGTGCTTGCTAGGCAGGCACTTATGTCACTGAGCTAAGCTAACTCTCTGACCCTTAAGTGGTGAGATTAATATGGCTCTTTCACCAAATCTGGGTTGACTGAGACTAAAGTTGTAAAATGAACCAACAATCCCTTCTTCCCAGAACTGAGTGGACTAAGAGAAGCTGAATGAAATCTTTTTCAGGGTGTCCTAGGTAAAGCATCCTCCTCGTTTGGCTACGAGTGTTAGAGAACTGTTTGCAGCATTGTTAAGATTCAGAGATAACAAAGGCACAATAGCCTCAGTATAAGGTAGCTGTTATTCTACTCGGTGGGGGTACCCGATTCTCAAAGAGGGTTTTTTTTTTTTCCGGAACCGGGGTTTGAACTCAGGTCCTTGCGCTTGCCAGACAAGCACTTATTCTACTGAGCTATCTCCCCGGCCCCTTCAAAGAGGTTCTTAAAGTAGAAAGTTTGCAAACTGATGGCATTGGTTGTTGGATGCTGCTGGGAAACTCTTCACATAAACGGAGGCTGTGCTGTGAAGGTAGGCTGCCACAGGGATTAGAAAATCAAGTTTCTACTTCTAATTTGGTTCGTCTCTCTGGGGAAATCTTTTAAAAAGCGGGGTGGGGTGAGGTGGGAGGTTGGTGTTTTCAGTCTCAGCCATGACGCACCCCGAGCGAACGTAAGAACCTGGGTCAGAAGCGCTCAGCGGCCGAACGCAGTCTTAGGGCGGACTACGTTTCCCACCGTGCTCCGCGGGCGCGCCAGTGCCTTACGCTAACACGTGAGTTCCCCCACCCATTACTGTCTCTCGCGAGAGGACGGGCCGCACCGGCGGTAGTGTTAGCGAGCTGTGGTGGTTGTGGTGGTGGTGGTGGTGGCGGCCGAGACGGCGGCGGCCATTTTGGTGAGGCCTCGGCAGCGGCGGCGGCGGCGGCAGCGGCTCACTGGGAATAGCGTCTTTCTTCTTTACAACTCACTGCCCGCGTCTCTGTGCCGTGAGAGGAGGCAGTAGAGGCAAGGCGGTGGCAGTAGTCGCGTTCCCCAGGGGAATTTAAAGGCTGTGAAGGCTGCGGCCAAGAGGGGGCCCTCCCCCCTCCTCGGCGGGAGGGGGGGTGGTGCGCACGCCCCCGAGGACGCAGGTAAGGAGAGGGAGATAAGATGGCGGACGTTTCACAGTCCTCCCGCCCCTGACAGGCGGCTGCGCGCGCATGTTTCCGCCACCGCCTCCCTCCCACCTTCCCGGGGTGCTGCGCGCGCACCTTCAGCCGGGGCCCCGGGGCCGGTGCGCGAGGCTGTCGGCGCGCGCCCATAGAGACAGAGGGGGCCGGAGCCGGCCGGCCCTGAGCCCCGGCGCGGCACTTCTCCCCTCCCGCCCGTCTGCGCACGCGTGCCCGAGCCAGCGAGCCCTGAGAGGACGGACCCAGGTGCGCTGCTGCCCGCCCACCTCACCAGTCACTCGGGCACGCGGGAAGGAGGGGGGCGTGGGACGAGGGGTCGGGGTGCGCGCCCACCACATATAAATAGGGGGCCAGGACCTGGAGACACGAGCCCTCTCCCTCCGAGCTTCTGGTGGCCTGGTGATGGGGGGGTTCCTTGGCGGGCGTGGGCAAGGGGCTTCCAGGTCTTGCGCCCCTTCTGTGCGTGGGCTTGGGTTCTAGCGGGAGCCCCCGGGCCGTGCGCGTTGCCGGCTCGCTCCGCCTCCGGCCGCGCACGCGCGGGCCCCTCCCCCATTCTGGCGCGCACGTTGGGTGGGGTGGGAGTCCGGGAGGGGGCGGGACTAGTCTAGGGCTAGTGGCATCTCGGGCAGGGGTCAGGGGTCATGCTGGGTCAGTCTGCGGGGAATGCTTGGCTAGGGTGAGCAGATGAAAGAGTGAGGTCAAGAGTTCAGTCTTCTTACATGCAGGTTAGCCAGGATCCTGGGAGTTTTGTGGAGTAGGGAGGAATCAAAGGCGGCACCGCGGTTAAGGAATTTCCTTAAACACTGGGGAAACACTTCCGGGCTCCCAGTGGGTTTAGCCCTGCTCGTTTCCGGCGCATGGTTCTTCCCTGTATGGCCATACTCATTTATCTGACTGCTCCTTAGTGTTTTTTTGTAAGTTTCTGGTTTAGGGAAGTGTCTGGTGGCACAGCTACAGGATTCACCTGGTCCTGCCCTGAATCTTGGATATAGGTTCCTGTGATAGGCATGTTTGTTTACTTTCCTTGTAGATTCTGTTTTTATTCCAGTTGACTCCTCACTCGAAAGAATCAGACTGCTAGATAACCCGCATGTATGAATTTCTGGATGTGACAGCTATTTCTGCTTTGTTATTTGGCTTTCATTGTGTGATTGAAGGTTTTTACATTTAAGCTTTTATTTATTTATTTTGCAGGATTGAACTCAGGACCTGGCCAGGCAGATGTATATGCTGCTGAGCTATATCCCTGGCCTCTAGGCTTTTGAAACTTTTTGTTTTCTTGTTCTGCCTTCAGCCAGAATTTTTATGTCTGTGTTGAATTTTGTCCCCACAAAACATGATTTGCTTACATTCTTCTGAGATTTGAGATTTTCATACTGTTGTGGGAACCGATTGGGGTACATTTGGAAGTCTCAAAAAATTACAGTAAGGTCTGAGGAGAGGGCTCAGTAGAATGAGCGTTTCCCTGGCAAGTGCAAGGGCCTGAGTTCAATCCCCGGGTCTGCCAAAGAAAAAAAAGTTGCAGCCAGGGAGATGACTCAGTGGAATAAGCACTTCCCTGGCAAGAGCAAGGGCCTGAGTTCAATCCCTAGTTCCGCCAAAAAAAAAAAAAGAAAAAAAAGTTGCAGTAAGCCAGGTCCATACGATGGTGCAGACCTGTAATTTCAGACTGGGGAGGCTGAGACAGGAAAATAGCCAGTTTGAGCCCTAGGGTTCATAGCAAGTTCAAGGCCATTTTGAATTATGTAATGAGATCCCAACTCCAAAAACCAACCAACCAACAACAAAGCTGCAGTAAATCATGAACTTCGATGAATATTGGTGAACGTGGATAGATTCCTGACTGCTGGTTTCCTTCCATTGTGTTTTATTTTAGGTGTAATTCTCCTCATTACGGCGGCACCGTGGAAGTGCAGACTTTCACAGGGGGTGTGGTCTCAGCTCACACAGGTGAGGGTTCAGATGCCTTTTTTTTTTGGTACCAAAAATTGAACCCAGGACCTTATGCTAGTGAGAGAAAATACAAGAATGGGACTAATTATGGTTGATACTTACAGAGTTTTGTTGGAAGAACGACAATGACACCTTAGGTGTTGAATTCAGTTCAAAATTTGTGTTCCAACACTGACACATTCAAGAGCTGATTTCTTTTTTTTTTTTTGTGGAACTGGGGATTGAACTCAGGCCTTTGTGCTTGCCAGTGAAGCGCTTATTCCACTGAGCCATCTCCCTGGCCCCTCAAGAGCTGAATTTTTAACCAAAGAAATAATGAGAAGACAGGTGTGGTGGCGCATGCCTGTAGACCTAGCATTTTGGAGGCTGAGACAAGAAGTTCACTGTGAGTTCAAGACCAGTAGGACTACAGAGTGAGTGTAAGGTCAGCCCAAACTGTACAGGGAGACTATGTCTCAAAAAAAAAAAAAAAAAAAAAAAAAAGATAGTGTGAAACCAAATAATTGATTTTGAGGCCCAAAGATTACACTTTATTTATTTGGTAGGTCTTGCTATGCAGTTCAGACTTATAGTGATCCTCTTGTCTCAGCCTCCCCAGCACTGGGATTACAAGTGTGTGTCACCACACTCAAAATGGCATGCGGTATCAGGAATGGAACCCGGGTTTTTGCGCTTGCCAGGCAGGCACTTAGATCACTGAGCTATCTCCCCAGGGCGCGCCCCCCCCCCCATTACACTTACAAGTTAATTTGTCAAGGATCTTAACAGATTTGGCAATAATTTCTTCACTTGTATTGTTTTCAGTTTTCCTTAGTTTTACTGCTGGTATCACTAACTTTGCTTGGAATCATGGTTATGGTATTTTACGCAAATGCACAAAAAGCAAAGCACAATGACAAATGTTTTAATCAACTAACAAGCTCTGTATATTGTCTGGGTGAGTGTGGTGCTTAGACTGAAGCACCACCCCTTTATGTCCACAGTGAAAAAGTGTGTGACTCACTTTCAGCCTGTACAGGTTTTTCCAAGTTCCATTTTTGTTTGACTACACGTAAAGTGAAGAACACTTAGCTGATTTTTATTTTTATTTATTCATTTTTTTAATGTATTTGTCTTTGATTTTGTTTATTTTTGGTGGATCCAGGGCTTGAACTCAGGCCCTTGCACTTGCCAGGGAAGTGCTTATTCCACTAAGCCATCTTTCCGGCCCCTTTTAATGTATTTGGTTGGTGCAGGGTCTCACTATGCAGTTTGGGCTCATGGTGACCCTCTTTGTTTTCAGCCTCCCCAGCTCTGGGGTTAAAGGCATGTGCCACCACTCCAGGACTCTGGCCTGCTCAGCCCACCCAGGGGTGGGACTGGCATGGTGTGTGTTGCAGGATCCAGCCACAGCCCCTGCACTTGCCAAAGCTTGCTGAGGCAGGCACATTAGTCTGCTGAGCTATCTCAGCGGCCCCCAGATTATTATTTTTTTTAACTTTGCTGTTTGAGTAGTGAAAAACTCCAGTTTGGAGCCATTCAGCAACTGTGTAGGAATATCTGCATCTGGATTTTCTGTGGAGGGTTTGATGTTAGTGGTACAACAACCAAAATGAGGGTGTGGATGGATAAAGATTGGATCACCTTCCCTCTGCCAGGGAGAGTAACAAGGTCTCTATGGCTAGACATAGTGTATTCCTCTAATCCCAGCACTCAGAAGGCTGAGGCAGGAGTGCCCCAAGTGTGAGGCCAGCTTAGACTGTATAGCAAGACTCCATCTTGGGGCTGGTGAGATGGCTCAGTGGTCTAAAGCACCTACTTAGAACAAGTTTAGCAAAGCACAGGGACCGCGGTTCAATTCCCCAGCACCTCATGCCAGCCAGCCCCGCCCCCTGGTGGGCTGAGCTGGCCCCCCCCCACAAATAAATAAAATTTAAAAAAATAAAGACTCCATCTTAAAAAAAGTTCTTCATGGTTGTGGTATGATATTACCTGGGTCTAAATTCTACTTTCAGGGCCGGGGAGATGGCTTAGTAGAATAAGCGCTTGCATGGCAAGTGCAAGGGCCTGAGTTCAATCCCCAGTTCTGCAAAAAAAAAAAAAAAAAAAATCTACTTCTTTCATGTGTGATCTTTTTTCAAGGATGTGTTCTCAGGTCTTATTTGAAGTAGAGAGCTGAAGGGCCAGCCAGATAGCTCAGCAGACTAAAGAGCCTGCTTAGGCAGATGCAGGGACCAGGTTCGATCCCTGGCATGCCGTGCTGGCCCCATCTCCAAGGTGCACCGAGACAGCTACTGAGACTGGGTGTGGTGGCACGCACCTGTAATCCCAGCACTTGGGAGGCTGAAACTGGATCACTATGAGTCCAATCTGTGTAGTGAGACCCTGTATAAATTAAAAAAAAAAAGATGAAGTAGAGAGCTAAATGTTGTAGCACACAATTGTAATTTCCTTCACTTGGGCAGTTGAACCAGAAGAGTAATACTGGAGTAACAGTTTATATGGGTTAGACACTTTTTCTGTCAAACCCCCCCGCCCATTTGAGATAGGATGCTAAGTCACTAAATTCTACAGGCTGGTTAAAGTCTTCCTGTGTAATTCCAAGCATGGTAGTGCATGCCTGTAATCCCAGCACTTGGGAGGCTGAGGCAGGAGGTTTACTTCAAAGTTCAGGCAAGCCTGGGATATAAAAAGTAAGTGCAAGGGTCTGGGGAGATAGCTCAGTAGCATAAGAGCCTGCCTAGCAAGTTCATGGTCCTGAGTTTGATCCCCACTACCAACACTGCCTCTCCAAAGAAAGTAAGTTTAAAGTTAGCCTGAACTATATTGTGAGACCCTGTCTCAAAAAAAAAAAAAAAAAAGAAAAAGAAAGAAAGTGTAGTATGGCTGCCCTTGAATTCATGTAGCCTAGGCTGGGTTTGAATTTGAGATATCCTTTCTTAGTCTTTTTGTGTGTGTGTGCTTTTAGTACAGTGTCTACAGGGTCTCGCTACACAGATCAGACTCATAGTGATCCTCCTGTTTTCAGCTTCCCAAGTGCTGGGATTACAGGTGGCTGTCACCACGCCCAGTCTCAGTTGCCTTCTAAGCATGCCCCAGAGGGATGGCCAGGATGGGCTGGCACAGCATGCGAGGATTACACCCTGGCGTCTGCCTAAGCAGGTGCTTTAGTCCGCTGAGCTATCTGACTGGCTCCATTACAGGTGAATCGAACATCAGGACTGCTGTACCACTAAGCTAGATTCCTAGCTCTTTTTGATTTTCTTTGCTGCTGGGGCTGGTGAGATGGATCAGTGGTCTAAAGTACCTACTTAGAACAAGCTTAGCAAAGCACAGGGACCGCAGTTCAATCCCCCAGC